GTGATGCTGTTATATTACATCTTGAAATCAAGTATCGGATGGATTTTCCACACATTCGACCATTTTCAATGCTTGAAAAGTTCACACGGTCCTTTCACAAAAACATACGCATTTGCAAAAAATGATTTCTCTCTTTCTTTGTGCCTACTATGTTTACATGGTTACCGTGCTCTTAGCCTCAATATGTACCCACCTCAAGGCATTTCCAGTGAAAACAGGCTGCACCTACCTGTGAGTGTAGTGTGACCATAATATGGTGCTCTTGAAGTGCCCCCAAGTGATGGGTAAAAGTACTGCAGCCACTGGCTTCCATTCACCGTTCACAATAAAGCTGCACCTGACCGTAACATGACCATACTTTTATGGTACCAGAGCAATAGCATACTACAGAAATGTCTGACACAGTTGGCCATCTAGAAATTTCTGCAGGAGGTGGCTGGTGTAGGGGTGTTCTACAGAGCATAGTTGTTTAGAGAAAGTTTGTTGGACAAGGCTGTATTTTTCTTTGTTTAAGGCTTGTATAATTGATCATCAACGAAGACTCTGCTTAGCTGCTAGACCTGTTTTTATCCTTAGCTGAGATAGCTCTAGCATGGTCATGTCATGGTCAGATGCAGCCAGATTGTGCATGTACTTTGAATGGAAGCCAATGAGTGCAGTACCTACCCTATTCACTGGGTGGTGCTTTAGGAGCGCTGTGTCACCACCAGTGACCAGTCAAAAATGATGCACGAGACCTCACATGCAAACTTTTTCTTTTTATTAATACCAATTGGCCTTGGCACAACAACATTCACAGAACAATTTTACCAGTATACAATAAAAGGACTTAATATCTTACAGTACAAAATTTGCCAGGCATTAAAACATTTTATCTGGGACACAGCTAATGTACATGTATCTTTTGTATTTTCTATCATGTTTCTACACCTTAGACTGACAAAGCTCAAGATGACAATATGCAACTTACATACAGCTGCTTGGTCTTGTAACAGATGGTAGAGTGGACTTGTAGTCACAGCAATAAATCCAGTCACAACTTCCTGTTAAGGTCACTGCCAAATCATTTACAGGCCAGTGGAGAAACATTCTCCAAAACTAAACTGTAATGTTATCTTCAGAGCGCTGCTATGGATCAGCACTGGGGAAGGGAAGGAAAAACAGTAACATCCAGCTGACCAAACAACTCTTGCTCACAGTGTTCTATAAGGTCACTGACATGTCAAGTTCATGTGAATTCTGAAAGCTCTTGAATTTTCGTCAGCTTGAAGGTTTTATCATTCTTTTGCGAGTGTATCTTTTTGGTATCTGTACCTGGGTTTCTCCCACTAGTCTGGTGAGACTGCATGCTAGGCAAAGTCCACATTTACAAAGTACAATGTATAACCTCCTTTTGGAGTTAACCAACAGACACAGCACACGCAATGCAACAACATCCTCTGTACAGTTGTGTTTGTTGCCCCATAGAAATTACAGGAGCGGGAAGTACATTATCTCAATTTACACTGTCACAATATATTACAACACATCTCCTACATAGCATGTAACAGTTATAAATGTTGATAGAACAGTTTAAAACTAGTGATAAATATAAGAAGCAAGTAGGAAAGTTCCTGAGTAGAGCAGTAAAATCTTTCAGGAAGTTATGTATGGAGATTTAAGCACTTAAAAACAGACTCCAAAAGTACATTTTGTAGCTTTGATACCTTAAAACTCACCATTTTGTCATTGAAGTTGTAGCATACTTTGTCATGGAAAATAATCATTAAGTGAACAGCATGTTTTTTTTAATACTTGTTACTAAAATTTTTGTTTGTAAAAGTAAATAAATACTGGTAGCTTAAATATATACATTGTACAGTAGCATTGTTTATGCTAATAGCATTGTTTCCTTGTTTTTACCTTTTATGCAGTGATCATGAAAATGTGGAATCATTTTAAAAAAAAATGACAGCATGGAATGCATTGCCTTTAGATTTTGAACACGGAGGTAACAGAAGAATGATTTAAGCATTTTGGAGAGACCACATACCATATGGTATACATGTACACGGTCACTGAGTGTTCTGAACATTAATACCAGTTCAGTCCATATTTAAACTTGTGTACCTTGTAACCAACACTTTACCATGGCAGTGGACCACTGACAGTATGACAGGTAGAAAAACTTTTACGTTACTTTTTGAGACTCTTTCTGTACAGGTTGCAGATTTTCACTGCTGAACTTTGACAAAGAAATAATCACTTAAAACTTCAGTTGCAAATCAAAAAGGAGCTTGAAAAAGTTGAGTTATGCATTGAAAATTGAAAGTCTTTTCGAAATCCATTGTTTACTTGAGACAATCTTTGTAATCACTTTGACATCTTAAAAACAATATATAAAACCTTTACTGATAACATAATATCAACCTTTCAGGTAACATTACAACTAAGCATGAGAAGAAAATGTCTGTTGCACATCTCTGGCATTACACAAATTCTTCGCTGTCCTCCAATCTCGGCTTGTCGATGGCGTATTTTGACAGGAAGGGTCCGAACATGGTGAGCGCGGTCCCCATGATCGCCAGCACGTACCCCCAGCCGATCTCACAGTTCCCGGGGTTGAACGAGGCTGCTGATTGGCCACAGTACATCTTGATGACGTTGGACTCCAGGCCGACTGGATAGATGATCAGACCCACGGAGCAAATGACAACTGCAGGAACAGGAGACAAGGACTGGGTTAGGGACCAGAAACAAGATATTTACCATTATGATCAATATTGGAATAAGAATAAAACTGAAGTCAATTAAAGACCTTTCTACATTTTGTAGAAGACCATTTTAAAGTGCATTTTACATCCTGCAAATCACCTTTATTATCCTACAGTATAACTCAATAATTATTTCATTACTCTTTGTTGTCCTTAACAACTACAACATTTTGAGTCATTGAGTCACTTAGCATGTTATAATTGCACTCATTTACATACATTACTTCTGATTCATGTCTCTGATATGTTGACCAGATGAAGGATTGAGCAGGAGACTTGTAAACCCCTGCCCATCCCCTGTGGTACACTAAGGCCAGGGTACCAGCTGAGCACCACCCAAACCATTACAATATTCATATTTATAAACATCACTCCTGCTGCGTCCGGTAATAAGCCTGATCAAACCTACAACATGTTGCTCCACCACTGAGAATATGTTTCACACTATGGGATTTACAGAAGACATCTGTACTTTGAGTTGATG